CATCCCAACCCCGCCATCCCAACCCCGCCATCCCAACCCCATCTCAGCCCCGTCCCATCCTCATTCCAACCCCGTCTCAGCCCCATCTCAACCAGTAAGAGGTCGGCGGCCTGTGTGCAGCCTGCCATCTGCCCTGCCGTCTGGTGGAGAGTTGCATCTTAGTGCAGCATCCTATTTGAAAAAAAAAAAAAAAACAAAGCAAAAAGCGCTGGAGGCGTGGCTCGCGTGGTAAAGCGCCTGGCAAGGGCAAAACCCCCGAGTTCAGACCCCGGTATTGCCAAGCAAATGGCTTGTGGAGTGTAGGTTTCCACAAGGAAAGAAAAGACGGGCCCTGTGCAGCCGCCGGGTTCTGCTCTAACGAAGCCTTTGCCCCGCAGGTTCTGAAAGGCTCAACGTGCAAGTCACAGTTCCCGAGAAAATACAGTCAATAGAGGGCGAAGGACACGCGGCCACACATGTAATTAACCGCTACCACTGTGGGCAGTTCAAAACCCTTGGACATGGGGTCCTTGGAAGTTCCTTTGCCATTTTCGCCTGTGCACTGTGTATCGGTGGCTGTCCAGTGGGAAAAGCTAGATCTGAAGAGGAAGCGCAATAAACAGTGTATCGCCAGGATTGGGAATGGTGGTTGGGCCTCAGTCCCCCTTCCAAATCTGCCTCGGAATATTCGGCCCGAGGGGGTGTTTTCTTCTGACCCACATAGTCTTCAGACTATGCTCTGAGGATTGTTTTTGGGGGGATAGAGTGGTTATTCTAATTACTCGTGTTTCTTGCTCCACTGTGGATTGCACAGACGTTAATGGCCAGGACTGTTCCTTCAAGTTCGTTTCTTTCAGATTAGGGTTCATGTTCATTTTTCTTCACATTGAACAACTCTGTCCTTTGTGGTGGTTGTTTGGGTACTGAGTTCTAGAATCATTTCTAGACAAGGACATTCCCATAGTATGTATTAAACACTAAATCTTTTTCAGGATTTTTTTAAATCACTTTTTTGTTCACCATAATAGAAATGCAAGCTAGAGATGCAAGTTTAAAAAAAATATTGTGATCATGTTTACAGAGACTTTGCTAGGTTGATTTATTGCTTCTAACTTCCCTCTAGGTCTTATGTTGTATATAAGCATTGTAAGTTTCAGATGGGGTAGGGGTAGCATTATTTGCGAAGTGTCTTCCTGTTGTCCTGCTAAAGCTGCTCTGGGAAGAAAGGTAGTAATGATCTTCCCTGGTGTTCCCTGGCTGGGCTCAGACAGGGGAAAGTGAAGTCAGTAGCAGCATTTGATGGGAGGGTGTCGTAACACTCGATCTGTGTTCTGTCCAGAGCATCTGGTCCCACCCATTCTCTGCAGCGCATGGGTTGAGCTCCTACAGTGGGTGTTGTCTTCTGAAAAACACAGACGTGGTTCAGTGGTTTGTAGGGGGACAGTGAGAAGGTTGTGAAGACACAGAAATCAAATCAAGTGAATACCAGTCCTCCTACACATACAACAGGACAAAGGGTTTGTGTTGTGGCTGCCCACTTCACTTCCTGTCTCCTCCTCCTGAGTTCCCTTCCCCCATGTCTTTCCTCCTGGGTAGCCTAAAATAGGTTGTACCCACCAGACAATGAATGACCATTAAGATGAGCAGGGCAAATTGATCTTAATTTTAATTTCATTTCATTCAGTGTGTCCAGATAGGTTCAGTTCATGGAGGAAAAAGGTAAGTTTTGGCTTCAGTGTTCTGGATGAATGATAGCTGTAGAGATGGCCATATTCATCCAAGAACCCTTTCCTCGTGTAATCCTATTTGCAAAGAGTCTTTAACGAAATAATCTAATTAAATGCATTCTTCAGAACAGGCCCTAATCCAAGATAGCTGGTGTGTTTAGAGGAAGAGGGGATTTGGGGGTTGGGCAGGATGGCACACGTCTATAATCCCAGCTACTGGGAACGGGGGACAGGAGGATGGTGGTCCTAGGCCCCAGCAAAGTCAGCCTAAGCCCTTATCTGGGAAACAAGCAAAAATAAATAAATAAGGCAAAGGACGAGTAATAGAGAGCTTACCCAGAAAACACGAGGACCAGAGTTCAAAACCCAGTACCAGGGGATAAAAGAAGTAAGATTCAGAGGAGGGCAGTGAAAAGAGGGGAGAAGATGGTCACGTGCCAACCTGGGAGAGCGGCCTCAGGCTTCCCTTCCCTCCCAGCTCCCAGGAAACTCCTACCTCACCAACACTTCCTACTCTGACCTAAAAGCTCAGGAAAAGACATTTCAGTTGCCTAAGCCAACACACACTCACACACACATGCACACACGCACACACGCACACATGCACGCACGCACGCACACACGCAAACCAAAAATGCAACTTAATAAAAGTCATAGGACCGTTGCTTAGATATATAATATATATTAATGCCTATCACATGTTAGACTCAATTCTAGCTAATATAAATGCATCAAACAGATTGTTAAAAATTGAAAGAAAATATGAGAAACCTGTTTGGGCTCTTATAATGGAAAAGAATTGAGTAAGGGATTAAGAAGCACAGATCCTGGAGTGGAATAATTGGGGAGGATCTAGGTTTAAGTACATCAACCATTATCAGAAACAAAGTGGCAAATATTCCAACTCAACCTTTGCAATCTATTTACTACATCTAAAGTATCCAGAATATATCAAGAACTTCTGAAAATCAGTAAGAAATAAAAAAGAAGCATGTATAAAGTTATAAATGTTAACCTTGAGAAGTTAACAAACGTAATCACATTCAGATTGAGAAACTTACAGAGAATTGCCAAATAACTAATGTAGGGCACTATTTTACATCCAGTGTTTGCAACAATTAAATCCAACAAAGCAATATGTGATGAGAGTACATAAGTTAAAAAAAAAAGTTCATCTTATTTTCTGTTTGTGAATTGGTACAACCAATGGAAAGAGTTGTGTTTTTGTTTTTTGTTTTTTGTTTTTTAATTGTTGGTCATGGAGCTTGAACTCTGGGCCTGGGCACTGTCCCTCAGCTCTTCAGCTCAAGGCTACCACTTGAGCCATACTGCCACTTCCAGTTTTCTAGTGGTTCATTGAAGATAAGAGTCTCACAGACTTTCCTGCCCAAGCTGGCTTTGAACCACTACCCTCAGAGCTCAGCCTCCTGAGTAGCTAGGATGACAGATATGAGCCACGGACACCCCGCTTAAGAGTTGTGTTGGGTTTTGTTTTCACAATGGGGGAGCAGTCCACACCTTTGGCATTCCTGGCCAGGACTTGCAGCACAGGCCTGTCCGCTGTAGATGGACACATGTCAACATCCACCCATCCCCATCCACCCTTAGACTCCCCAGTGAGTATATAAAATAAATTCTAAAGGGAAATTAAAATTTAAAAATCCACCTAGCAACATTTTCTGTAAACATGATTGAAATAGTAAAAGTACCTTGCATTTCTAGTCTGCATTTCTATTATGGTAAAGTGATTTTTTTTAATCCTGAAAAAGATTTAGGGTGCAATATATACTATCAGAAGGCAATGATAAGCAAAACAAAAACTGGTATGAGAAAATTTTAATTGGAGATTTAGTCCATGTTTGTAGACTGCCATGTTCAATAGTGAAAAGAGATTGTTCCCACACAGTGACACAGAGAATAAATTATCCATCAGATACCACTTTTAATCTTTGTTAGTAGATGCCATAAGTATTGCATTCAAACAATGAACATATTTCATCAAATCTATAAATAACATACATTATATGCTGTTAATTCTTTGCTTTACTGTGTATAAATTTTCTATTGAGTGGAGAGTTGACTATTGCAAGGAAATTTGACCATTTTACTGGTCTCAAACTTTTAATAAACGAACACATTCATTGGATAAAAATAATTCATTCTTCATGTCCTATTATATTGGGTAAATTTAAAAATGAATAACAAACTACACAATGCTATTCTTCTATCCATAATTATCATAATGAAGGCCACAATATTAACACTGAAATAACTCAATATGAGTAATTTATAATTGATTATGAATATTCAGCTTTAAAATATCCTTCTAGTGTATTGTGTTTGGAAATGTAATCATCATTAATGTAAAAATAATCATTTCCTCTGCTACTGATGCTTTTTTTCTGGTTTTCCTTGCTTTTTAAATGCACCCACCCTGCAGATATCCTACAGCATTATGATTGAAGGGAAAACATACACTATGCACCTAAAGCAAAAGTAAGTGACCTTTATCTCAACCGTCTTTGCTCTGTGATTATTACTTGCAAATACCACTTGCAAATATCTAGAACATGATTATGGTGGATTTGAGAGTAATTCTAGTTAGTACCTACTTATTTTTCTCTGTTTTTATTTAAAATTTTTGTCCTTTTTTTCCTTCTTTTTTAGACAGGGTCTTGCTGTGCAGTTCAGGCTGTTACCACCCTTGAAACCCTCCTGTCTCACCTCCTGAGTATTGGAATTGCAGGCATGCACCCCTGTCCCCCACTTCATTTGTGTCTTATTTGTGCTTGGAAATATCTTTTCAGTCTTTCAATTATTCCTCAGAGCCGGCAGCTCTCCTCCTCCTCCCTAGTTGAGTCAGAATTGTTTTGGACAGTTTGTAAGGTGGCCTGATAATTTTGCTAATTTTTAAAATAATTTTCTATCTTTTTTGATAATTTTTGATCATTTTCTATCTTTCTGCGAACATAAACATGGTTTGTTTTCAAGTTCCTTTCTATCTAAACTATACTTAAATAATCTCAACAGATTCTTTGATGGACTGAATTATGACAATAATTTTAAGTTAGTGTATCACTGAAGCAATGAGAAACGAGAAACGCCTCTTAGCCATTCCGGAGTTCAGAACTGCAGCCTCTTCACCACACTTTATGAAACTGTCTTCTACCTAAGATACACAATCCTTGTCTGAAAGAAGACACAAAAAGTGCACTCCAGTTACATATTGCTACATTTCTTGAGTGCTGTGTATTTTCAGCAAAAGCACAGGGCCCGGGAGAGAAGCCTGCAGCGGCTGTGACCGCGGCTGACCGCGGTGAGCCAAACCATGCTGTGTGGCAGTCATTGGTGGGCTTTGCTCGGGAAGGGATCCGGATTAAAAACACTGGTACGGCATTACGAATGACAGGCACTGCTAAGAGCCTGGAAGACACCGTGCTTGGCCTCTGATGAGTTTCTAAGGACTCTGATTCTTCAATTTCAGAATTCACGATCTGCTTTAATTCTGGAGACTTCGTGCCAATTTTTGAGTGTAATGTTCCCTTTTTCTCACTCTAGTACTGCACCTGGCCTGCTGTTGACTGTGCATTATGATCATTTGAGGGAACCACTGTCGCTAACTATACTCGACTCATCTGTCACCTGCCCTGCTAGTCTTGATTTTGTCCTTTATTTCAAATATTTTCTTCAGATATCAGCTTTCATTTTACTGTTTCTCTATGCAAAAAGATGTCTCATTTAATCTAGGAATTTTTTTCGGTGTATTGCTGTATTTTTGCGTGGAGCATTTCTGAACAAATATGCACCACTGTGATCTGTAAACCTTGACAGCTTCTATTCCTGGGTCGTCAGTGCGTCCATCGTTCACTTAATTATTGTTGTTTACATACAGGGCAAGCATTGGGCTTTCTCACACGTGGACAGCTTTTCTCACACGTGTGGTGAGGCGTCCTCTTCCAGGGAGCTGTCTGTCTGGGCTTTCTTTGGGGTGCGCTTAGGGATGCTGGTATTTCACGCCTGGATCAGTAGCTCGGCTCAGGTTCCCACCTGTCCTTCCATGGTTTCAGCAGTGAAGGCGTTTGCTTGAGATTCATTTCTCATCCATGTGGAGGAGAGCTTGGGGTTTCCATGTCTTCAGAATCACAAATGGCGAGGCCTGGCCTGGGCCACAGCGCTCAGCCTGCGTCCACCATCTGCACCCAGCAGGAATCTTCGTTTATTTGGGCTGCAGTAACAAAACACAAAAACAAATGAAAGTGAAAATGCTCTCCTTTAGTTTGTTCACTCAAGCATTGTGTCATGGTAATACAAAGGGACCAACACGGTTCTGGAGGCAGGAGTGAAGAGCAAGCTTCTGGTAGATGAGCACTTTTTCGAAAGACATGCTCGCTTGACCTCTCATGATAGGAGGAGGAGTCCGCTCTTGTGGTCTAAGAATACTGATTCATGGCCCAAACAACCCTCCTCCTAACATCACACCAGTTAAGAGGTTTCAACATACAAATTTAGAGAAGACACAGTTATGTGATAATTTTTCCTCTTGTTATTCACAAATCTGCAAAGTATTTCTATCTTTGGCAGTATGAGGATTTAAACTCAAGGACATTGTACCTGCTCAGCTTGTTTACTTAGGTCGCACTCTACCATCTGAGCCAGGCCACTGGCCAAGCTTTTTGGTAGCTATATTGGAGATGGAGTCTTGCAAGACTGTTCTCTTCTTCCCTTTGAACTGTGATGCTCTGGATGTCAGCATCCAAAGTAGCTAGATTATGAGGGTGAGCCACCAGTCACCAGCTAGCTCTACACTTTTGGATGGAAAACATTTTGCCTTTTTTTGTGTGTCACAGTAAAAAAAAGAAAAATCCTTTCCCAGGCTAAAGCTACAGATTTCTTTCTATGCTTGTTTCCTATCAGCTTTATAGTTTCAGGTAGTAAGTCTTCAATCCACTTTCTGTGAATTTTGTACATGGTGTAAGACAAAAAGGTCCAATTTCATCTTCTTTGTGTGGATATTCAATCTTCCAAAAATTATTATTTAAAGAGAAGTTGTTCCCCATGCATGTTCTTGATAAGTTTGTTAGAGATCAATTGATTATCAATGTATGGGTTTGTTCCTCTGACACAACTCTGTGTATCTGTTTTCTTTTTAATACCCATAGCATGGAGTTTCTATTACCATAGCTTGGTAGTATATTTCAAAATCAGGTAGTCTGATGCCGCCAACTGCACTTTTTGCTCAGAACTGCTTTGGCTATTCAGAGGGTATTGACAGGAGGTGGAAGATCAGTAGAGTGGAAAATCTTTTTCTGCCAACCTGCCTAAGCAGGTTGCACCTTTCTCCAAAATAGTACCTTAGGGAACAATTTTTCTGTTAAATACCTTTTTACCTTTATTTTCACAGACCTTTTTTACCCAGAAGTTTTAAAGTTTATAGTTACGACGGTTCGGGAATTATGATGCCTCTTGATGAAGATATTGAGGTACGTTGTCTGGTCACCCGCTTCCTCCACAACTGGCATTCTGTTTTGTTTTGACATGCACGTAATCATTTCCGATCAGTGGCAGGACTTGGCCCTTACCACAGCAGGATGGTGACCAAACCCTGTAGGATTTGAGCGCTTTCCAAACCAGCCATTTCCCTGGCGCGCGCACGCACGCGCACGCGTGTGTGTGTGACCACTGTGTGTGTGTGTGTGTGACCACTGGGTCAAACCTCAAATGGAAAGTCATGATTTACATCAGGGGTTTTCAACCGATCTAATTTTCATACCTGAAATGCAGGGTCCGGCAGCCTCTGGGGTTTTAATCGCTGGCACGCCCCATCATCTCGCTCTGTGGGTCAGCATTTGACTTTTCTTTTTTCTTCCCAGCCATCTGCTTCCCAGAAATCCTGCCAACTGGCCAGCTACTTGCAGACTGGTGCTGATGGAATCTAGGGATCTCCTACCCATTCTCCCCACCCCTACTTCCCGCACTGCATTTTTGGGGGCTTGAGCTTTTCTGTGTTCTGTTGCACACAGAATGGGCTCCTCTGGGAAGAGATTAGGTGGCACTGTCCCATTTTGCAGCAGGATTCTCATTGGATGATGTGTCTAGGCCGAGGCTGAAGGCTCAGGTGGTCCGCCCTGTTATTGAAGGAGCTTGCTCCTGCTGTCAGCGTAGCCCTTTCAACGTCTTCTTCATCCTCTGCTTCTGGAAGCTGGAAGGGTGGGAAGCAAGAGTTGGAACATCTCCTTTGGGCTTACTTGATCCAAGTTCGGCAGGCCTGGCTGTCGTGTGATTAACTGTGGCAAGTCCACACTTAGACATCCTTGTAGGCGCTGCGGGGAGATCTGGTTCCCTCCTCCGATCGTGGCTCGTCTGCGCTGTAACTTTCCCCGAGGCTTCTGTAGATCCCCGGCTGCTCCTGCTACCTGTGGCTCTTCTGGCTTCTCCCCTGCCTCTTGCCCACGCGTTCCCTGCCTTGGCCTACCACACACTTTAAGAGCAGATAAACCAACACAGAAGAATTCTCTTCTCTGTTCTTCAGCTGTCCTGGTCTTGGCCAGATTTGTTGGTATCCATGAACTTTTCTAGTTCCTCTCCCTCCAATTTAATATTTCAAAGCCCAGATAAAAGCAAAGTTGAGTTCCAGCAATGCAAGCGAATTCAATGGCCAGGGAAGTGGAGCTCTGTGAGGAAAGCACCCTCACAGGACCAACGAAACAGGGCGGGGCGGGGGGGCGCTAGGACAGGCTGAGAGGGGCAGACTAGTGGTGGGGATTGGCCTGGAGTTGGTGGGGGTTCTCAGAAAGCAGTGACGCTTTCTGTCATGGTAGCTGGCAGGCGTGGCTCTTCGATGGACATTTGATTACAATGAAGCTAGAGGTTGTCCCGATTAAGTCTATCAGCCATCTTAGGTCCACTCACCTGAAGGGAACTTCTAGCCATCAGGCATCTTGTCTCCAGGAGTAGTGAGAAATCCAGCCTGGCTTCTAGGAAGCCAGGTGGGGTGGCAGGGAGTATCTTTCACATATTCTCAGTCAAGATTAAGTGCACCTCAGATAATGGCCCACATTTTACGGCCTCCTTCTGCACCTTCTGCCTCTGTTGGACCCTGCATTTCAGTTTCTAACACTCCTGAGACTGTGGCCGCCTCTGCGGAAGGATTGGGTTTTCGGTTGTGATATTGCCTGCCCTGGGAGCCAGCCAGGATCCCCATGGGTGCAATTACCTCCTTTCTTGGGTTCAATGTATTTCCCTTCCTGTTTCTGTCTACCTTTGTAACGCAAGCCCAGATGGTATTTTCCACGTTTTATCTGTGGTCCACCCCCAACTACCCCTCCAAATAATTTCTCTTGCAGATGTGGATTCATTTTGCTTCTCTGGCGTACAGAATTAAGTCAGAGGAGTATGAAAAAAATAAATGGTTTTAATTATTTTTAAACCTTATCCTAATGATTGAAAGTCACGTTGAATTTATAACACAGGAAAAATGTGAAAACTACTACTGAGTTCTTTGGGAACCTGAGCAGGACGGGGCGGGGGAGTTGCGGGGGGAGGGGTGATTTCAGAAAATCAAGCCATGGCCTCCCCTATCATCTTAGAAGTCCATTTTGGAAACAGTGAGTACTTGAGGCACACAACCCAAGACGTGTGTTTTCAGCGTCTGACAATGCTGCCTTGGACATAAGCTCCTCTCATACGGGGTTTCCCTTTGTCTTCCAGAGTTCCTGCCACTACCAAGGATATTTGGAGGGGTACCCCAACTCCATGGCGACGCTTAGCACCTGCACCGGGCTCAGGTTGTAACGCAGCACTGAGGGGGTACAAAGTGGATCACCTAGCTGGAAATTATTTCTGCTAATGGCCTGGCTGAATTGGATCACAGTGTATTAATTGAAAACTAGACAAATACTAATTACATTATTTTCTGTGCCATACCCATTAACTTTTCTTACTTTCACTACCTAAGTCTGATCACGATATACAAACAAAAAGCAGCAACACCCACATCGATCAAGTGTACTGACTTGTAAAAGTATGGTGGTGTTTATATTGATGCTTGCAAACGCGTTAGCTCGCTCACACAGCTTTTGTTCTCGTTTGCAGGGGCATACTGCAGTTTGGAAACATTAGCTACGGAATTGAACCTCTGGAGTCTGCACTTGGTTTTGAGCACGTCATTTATCAACTACAGCACAAGAAAACGAGTATTTCTTTATATGCCGAGAAGGAATTTGAGTTACGAGATCTGCCCTATGAAGTGCAAAGAATAGAGGTTGGTGGCTCATCAACTACATTGTATTTTTTCCTGTACGCTCTCCTTTTTAAGTATTGGTATTTCCTATGTGGCACCTTGGGTTTATTTAGCTTATCCATTTTATTGCACATTTTCTTTGGTTTTATCTACTAGGACTTACAGGTGTCCTGTTCCCACTCCGAATACTTACCCGAGTTAAGTGATTTCATATTTAACATTTTGGTTGCCCCAATTAAACACACACAGAGTTCATCCGTCTGTCTGTCTGTCATCTGTCTACCTATCATATTCCTGTTCCTTCCCACTCCCCAAATACTCATGCCAATGTCCTCTGATGTCTTGTAAACTTTAATCCCTAATTACCAGCACTGCCACTGGAACACGCCCGTAGAATGTCCTTGGATCTGTGTGATGGAGTCAGTTCCTCAGGACTCGCTGAGGTCCCAGCCCGCGTCACCCCACAATTGGACTCATCTTTGCACACCACGTGTCTCAGCACACACATCTTGTGTTGCTGACCTTTTCCTATTAAACAACCTGGCTCTGAAGTCCTTTGAAATCTGGCCCTTGCCCACCTTCCCAAAAGAATCAGTGTCTAGAATTCTCTTATGCCTGCATCTTACATTTTAATTTTTTTTGGTGAACTGATTTTTTTTTGTCGGTTGTGGGGCTTGGGTGCTACCTTATCCCTGCGCTTCTCAGCTCAAGGCAAGCGCTCTACCACTTGCGCCACAGCGCTGCTTCTGGTTTTCTAGTGGTTAATTGGAGATAAGAGTCTCACAAACTTTTCTGTCCAGGCTGGCTTTGAACCATTATCCTCAAATCTCAGCCTCCTGAGTAGCTAGGATTACAGGCGTGAGCCACCAGCATCCGACTGATTATTTTCTTTAAGATTTTTAATAAACAGATCAGTAGCAGTCTTAATGTAAATGATGAAAATAAGTATTAAACAACCAGCACTTGATAATTGGTTGGAAGGAAGAAATAACCTCGAATCCTTAAACCACTGAATGCAGTGTTTTTTTCAGTAGCTTAGATACAGTAAAGGACTCTGTGTCGTCAATGAAATGATGATTTTTTTTCCCCCATTGAAACCATGAACTATTCGGTCCTTAAATGTTGGGTAGAAATGTTGGGCAGAAAAATTCATGACTCTTTTCTTCAGTTAACCAGCCAAAAGCCTGAAGTAGAACTATGGCTCACGTGGAGGAACCTTGAGCAAAAAGCTAAGGAACAGTGCCGAGGCCCTGAGTTCAAGTCTCAGTATCAGCATCAAAAAATCATAAAATGGAGATAGTAGAAGTGTCTGGCATCTCTGAGCTTGGGGCCTCTGCTCTACATTCTGGTAGCTGTCCACTCACCAGGGTGGTTTTGTTGTCATGGTCACATACCATTGTGTGTCCTCCGCACTGCAGTGCCCAGGGTTTGCTAAGCTTGTTTTATAGTCTGGCATTAGTGCATATCTCCTCATGTAACAACTACAGTGACAATGGGTTAGCATTTTGTTAGCAAACCCATTTATAGTCTGAGCCATAGACAGGTTAATCAAGAACAGAAGCTTCATGAAACCTGATATTTGGATCTAACGTAGCCACTATATTCTAAGTGTCTGACATCAGATTCCAAATGCCAGTGTCTGTGGTCTAGTTTAAGCCGATCCATCATTTGACACCCTGTTACTCACCTTGTCTGAGGTGCATGATACAAGGGTTGATGTCCCAGCACTCTTCTGGGAGCATGCACAAAGTCATAACACAAAATAATGTAGCCAAAGTCTCATTAGGCTAATAGAACTAAATGCAGGGCCAATGAGAATTTTTCAACACTGAGCTCATTAATAGTAGTGACAAATATTGAAAAGACTAATTCTTCAGTTTGGGACATAATGTTTGTGGATTCTTTTCAGGCACAAAAAGATCTCCCTCACTATATAGAAATGCATATTGTTGTTGAAAAACGATTGGTAAGTACAGTTTAATTTATTTTGGTTGGGGGCTGCATTTTATTCTCAATAATAAATTATGAAAAGAACTTTCTTGTGTTGCCAGGAGTTTTTAATAGAGAACTAATAATAAATTTGCATTTCCCATGTTGTAATGTATTTTGAATTGTTTTTATCAGTAGGCAATTGGAAATTGAATTTCTATAAAAATTTTATTATTAATTTATAAATAGTAATATAAACAAAACAAATTGTTCCCTAATAACCATTTACAGATAGTTATAGAATTGTAGGGAACTTATTGCATGTATTCTAGCACTAAATTTTGAAAACAACAGTTGACAAGATTTCTGTTGTTTAAAGAAGAAATAAGAAGTTCTCCATTTGTAACATCTCTTAGTAGGTAGGGAAACAATGGTCTTTACTGTAGAAGAGGAAATCATGTTTCCAGAAGGTTCTTTCCCACCAGATTTCCTCCTGAAATAGAACTACAATTAAGTAAAATTTAGAATCCTAAAATAATTTCTTCTTTAATGTAAGTTTTAAAATTATTTTTAAACAGTTATACAAAGGGATTTCAATTCAACATGTCAATTTCCTTTTCCTTTTCTTTTTCTATTTTGCATCCAAGTTCCCAACTTCAGCCCTAAAAACTAAATGAATATTCTTAATACATTTAGGGAATCTTTCAAAGGAAATACCTGCACCTTTGCCAGTAATCCACTGGCCATCAAAGTTTCTGTGTATTTCAGAACTCTGAATTCTATACCACCAATCAGCATATCTGTCACTGAACTGATCCTAAGTGACTTAAAGATTGTAATTTACAGTTAACTTTGAAATAAGGAAATCTAAGTCTTTATACATCTCTTAATTGGGTCAGTGTGTTATTGTTTAGTCATAAACAATTAAGTCAACCACTAGATTGTCTTTATTTTGTTGGTGATGATATTAACATAAAAGTTTTAATTTCACCAACATATATGTCTTTGCCTGTTTCATCTTCTTATGCCTTCCTGAATATCATTTGATGGGATTTACTTTGGGTCACTTTCATTTCTGTGTCATTGATCTAAGATTAATCTGGAATCAAGAGTATGTTGTATTTATTACTATACCTTTGCAGTTAGCTTTGAAGTTGAAGACTCAACTTTGTTCTTATTTCAAATCATTCTGGACATTTCAGATTATGTTAATTTTCAAATAGATTTTAGAATCAACTTTTTGATTTCCCTGCAATGGCAACTGTAATTTTTGTAGGAATTGACTTGACTCCTTGGACCAATTTGGATATTTCCACCTTTTTAACAATACAAAGCTTTACAATGTCTTTTATGTCTTTACAATGTCTTTACTTATGTTTTTTTACTTTCAGCAGTGTAATTTTCAGTGTTTGTCTTGAATTTTTTGACTAAGAATATTATTATTATTATTTTGTTGTTGGTCATGGGGCTTGAACTCTGGGCCTGGGCACTGTCCCTCAGCTCTTCAGCTCAAGGTGGACACTCTACCTCTTGAGCCACAGTGTCATTTCCAGTTTTCTGGTGATTTATTGGAGATAAGAGTCTCATAGACTTTCCTGCCTGGGCTGGCTTTGAACCATGATCCTCAGATATCAGCCTCCCCAGTAGCTAGGATTACAGGTGTGAGCCACTAGCACCTGACTAGTCATTATTTTTGTGTTGTAAGTGGATGGCTTCCTTCCTGTAATTTTTAAACTACTTATTTCTGGCATATGAAATAGAATTGACTTTTGTATCTGCTCTTATATCCTATGGATTTACCAAAAAACATTTTTTATCCTGATAGTTTTTAGTGAATTTCTTAGGATTTTCTATATACAAATGTTTGCTGGCAAAGTATTAAACATTTTTCTTTCCTAAATGAGTATATATTGATTTCTTTTATTTGAATGAGTACCTTGTCAAGAAGTCTGGATAGCTTAAGCCCCACAACTGACAAAACAAACAAACAAAAAAAGAAGTCTGGATAGTATTTGTGCAGTGGGAACAGGTGTCACTGTCTTTCTGGCTCTCAGGAAAAAAAAAAACACAAATTCCTTTATTGATTCTGATGTGATCAGTGGGTTTTTCATAGATTTTGTTTCTTTACCAGATTGAGGAATGTTCACTAATTTGAATGTTTGATATTGTTTTTATCATGAATGGGCATTGATTTTCAAGTTTTTATGTTTCTATTGATAGAATTATATGGATTTGGGCTTTTATCCCATAGCAAATTATATTTTATTGGTTGGTTTTCAGCTATCAAACCAACCTTGTATTCCTAGAATTGGGATTTATTGGGTTGCATATTCGTTTTCTATGTTGTATTTTTTCATTTTTTGAGTATTTTTATTTAGTTGTACAAAGGATCTGCCAGTCAACAAGTACAATTTAAATTAGTATTTTGCGCAGGGTTTTTGTATTTATATTGATGAGCCAACATGTTTCTGACCTCATTCATTGAGTTGACAGTGCTTTTTTCTATTTTATAGAAGCATCTGTGAAGAATTAGTGTTAAGTTTTGTAAATGTTTGATAAAAGGAATGAAAAGTTTAATGAAGCAATAGGGAATTAATGCTTTCTTTAAAAAAGATTTTTAAATGCTCTTCAATTTGTTGTTACAGTTTCAAATTGTTCCTAAATTAGTCTAAGTTATCTAATTTTTTGGGGGGGGTTCCAGTCGTGGGGCCTGAACTCTGGGCCTGGGCACTGTCCCTCAGCTCTTCAGCTCAAGGCTAGTGTTCTACCACTTGAGCCACAGTGCCCTTTCCGGTTTTTTTTTTTTGCTTATGTGGTGCTGAGGAATCGAACCCAGGGCCTCATGCATGCAAGGAAGCGCTCTACCACTGAGCCAACTTCCCAGCCCTAAGTTATCTAATTTTTTGTTATACAAGTGTAACCATAGTTCTTTTATAATTTTTATTCTTTCCCTAAAGTCAGTGTTTGTACTCTAAAGCAGCTTTAGATTTTTCTCTTTTGTTCTCCCAATGTAGTCAATGAGTTTCTTTGTTATTTTTGTCTTTTCAAATAATTAACTTTGTTTTGTTTTCTCTCTTATTTTTCTATCTTTATTTCAGTCATTTTTGTTTTAATCCTTATTATTTATTTCCTTTCTTTGGGTTTATTTTGCTGTTCTTGCACCAACTTCCTGATGTAGCAGGCTAGACAGGTGATTTTGAGATGCTCATCACTCCAATATTGCTACTTCTGGCAATAAATTCACCACTAACATTGCTGTGGCTGAATATGATCAGTTGGGCTATGTTTGATTTTGATTAATACAACTTTCCAAATACTCTGTGATTTCTTCTTTGTTTTGTATAATTGGTTCCACATGTTTAGAATTTTACAGTTTTTTGTTGTTTTAAATTAAATCTCATTAGGTTCAGAGGGAATATGCCTTGCATTTTTTAAACTAACTGTAGTTGGTCTTACCTTTCAGCCTACTATATGCTCTATTTCTTGATTATGTTCCATGTATGCTTGAGGGAGAATGCACGCTGTAAATGTTTTGCAGTGAAATGTCCTGTGGAGACTTATTGGTGTATAGTTTTGTTTCAATATTTACCCTCTGTGCTGACTTGCTTATGTTAGTCTATTATTACAAGTTGTATACTTAAATCTCTATTATTAAAATTTCCTATTAATTTTTGGTTATTTTTTATTTTGTATGAATTCCTGCTCTGTTCTTGGATGCATAAACAGTTATAATTTGATAGCTTCCTGGTTGACATTGTTTTTTGCCATTGCTCTTTGCATCATATTATTTCCAATCCTTTTACATTCAAGTGATTTGTGTCTTTGCAAAATGTAGTATGTCTCCTGTAAACAGTTAATTCTTCTGGTTTTTGTTTTCTTAATCAAATCTGACAATCTGATAATTGATTATGTAATCCACTCACATTTAATGACATATGTCTATTTTATGTTTATCACTTTGATTTATTCTGATTCATAACTATTCTGTTCCTTCCTCTTTTGTTTTTCTTCCTGTTGTCATGGACACTTTCTAGCTTTTAGTTTTCCTTTTTATTTGAAGGTAATTAGGGATTCATGTGCATTTCGTAAGAATGGAAAGAGATCCTGTCCACTAATAGGGTGGATATTGTGACTGAAGCAGTCAAGACACAGGATAATTGCATCCAAACAAGAATCTATGGACCACACCTGCTTGTCCATTGCTCTACTTCCTCTATCTCAGATCCCAAGTCTGTTCTCCATTCATATATATGTTTCAAAAAATTACATAAATGGGGCTGGGAAGTTGGCTCAGTGGTAGAGTGCTTGCCCCTCATGCATGAGGCCCTGGGTTTGATTCCTCAGCACCACATATGCAGAAAAAGCCAGAAGTGGTGCTGTGGCTCAAGTAATAGGGTGCTAGCCTTGAGCTGAAGAGCTGAGGGACAGCGCCCAAGCCCAGAGTTCAGCCCCCACAACTGACAAAACAAAAACAAAAAACAAAAAAAAAATTACATAAATGAAGTCACTCAGTATGTAACACTTTGGGATTTTTTCCACACATACTTTCTGGAAAATTCCCCAGACTTTAACAACTTCTTTTTTTGGTGGTGGGGTCTGGTGGGCCTGGGCACTGTCCCTCAGCTCTTCAGCTCAAGGCTAGCACTCTACCACTTGAGCCACAGCATCACTTCCAGCTTTTTTTTTCTGCTTATGTGGTGCTGAGGAATCAAACCCAGGGCCTCATGCATGCAAGGCAAGCGCTCTACCACTGAACCACTTTCCCAGCCCACTTAACAACTTCTTAAACAAAATGTATGTTAATCCTTCAGATTCTTTTCTTCGTGCTAGCCTGTGCTGCTTTTAGAGACATGGATCCAGTCAGCATGTCAGTGTTTTCAGGATGAATTACGTTGATCTGCTGGTTTACAATTCACATGTCTTGGGTCTCTTCATACATTGCTTCCTATCCATTCTTACTTTCAAACTGTTGTCTTTGACCTTTTTTTTTTTTACTTTTCCTTATTGTATTCTTCTTGTGACACTATGTTTCTACTGTCAGTTATATAATTTGTTTTAGTAAAGTTTCAGGCAGACATGGCTTTGAATGGGTGTGGTAGATGTACAATCTTTCTGATTTCCATTTTCAGATTTGCAAAATAGGCAGTCTTCCAGTTTAAAGCTAGAATTTTCTATCAGCCACTACTATCCATAATTTATTGATAGTGGAATTGTACCATATTTTGCAGGCTTATAATTATTTACATTTATAATCTCTAGATACATGCAATGATTTGTATGCTAATAAAATAATGTTGATAATTTAAACAATTTCTGACTTTATCAGATTAAATTTTAGATAAAAGGAAAACAGTAACTAAACATTAGGCAATGTATACATAGATCTCAAAGGCAATTGTCTTTTGCAGTACGATCACATGGGTTCTGACACAACCATTGTCACTGAAAAAATTTTCCAGTTGATTGTATTGACGAATGCTGTAAGTACTTGCTCTTTTGAAGTTTTGTACTTGTCCTGTGCTACTAAAACAATCTCTCTTCACCTTCTTTTAGGATATTGATTAAATGTACATGTGGTATGATACAGGAAAATTTAAGTATCATTTTAACTTCAGTCTTTCTGCCTTTTAATTGGGCAGAATGACAATTATATGTGCCTATTTAAGTTATTGTGAAGTAAATTAAATGAGAAACTTATTGCTTACATGCAAACAGCTTAGAAATATTAAATATGATTTGTATTATTAACACTGTTGCTTGTTAGCAGACTTGTAAAGGTCCAGTGGAGGCTGACAGTTCACGTGTTTAATATGTGTGAGAAGTTTATTGTCGGAAATGTTTTGCTGCTTGAACATGTTTTCTGCATGTGTTTTGTTTTAGATTTTTGCTTCCATTAATCTCAACATAATTTTGTCTTCACTGGAATTTTGGACAGATGAAAACAAAATTTCAACCTCAGGAAATGCTAATGAGTTATTGCACAAGTTTTTAAAATGGAAACGATCTTTCCTTGTTTTGCGTCCTCATGACATGGCATTTTTACTCATGTAAGCATATTTTGGAATTACTGAAGCTTATCAAAAAATCAGTTTGGCACTATTTCTATTTTTTTCTTTTTTGTGGTGCTGAGAACTTGAACCTAGGACCTCATGCTTGCTTGGCAGGCCATGTACCACTTCATACACACATGCACATGCACACGAGTGCTCATAAACAACCCCCCTCCGCCACACACATCATTGCCTAATTTGACCCTAATTCTCAGGATTGGCAAGCCTTTGGAGAGAAAAGTCTTTAGTCATTCTTTTCTGATATTACCATGTGACTATTATTATTTCTTTTTTGTCGGTCGTGGGGCTTGAACTCTGGGCCTGGGCGCTGTCCCTCAGCTCTTCAGCTCAAGGCGAGAGCTCTACCACTTGAGCTACAGCGCCACTTCTGGTTTTCTGGTGGTTTATTGGAGATAGGAGTCTCACAGTCTTTCCTGCCCGGGCTGGCTTTGAACCGTGATCCTCAGATCTCAGCCTCCTGAGTAGCTAGGATTACAGGCGTGAGCCACCAGCGCCCTGCAATGACTATTATTTTTCAAAGCACCATACTTAGGACAGAATTATTGACATCCACCACAATAGCCATTGACGTGTAGCTCATCCTTCTACAACCTGGATACCACATGCCTTCTTACCTTAAAATACACACCACATCTTTAAATATCCTTAACCAGACCTCAAGTATCAGTAGCTACATGGAACATAAGATCTTGATTTTATTAATGTTGTTATTGAGCCTTCCTTTCAGTGTTGTGATCATTCTTTTAAAAATAACAAAGAAATGGAAACTTTACTGTGCATCTCAACATAAGGTGAGCACCATGCAGCCTCATGCTGCTGAGGATTTTGGTATCCAAATGTGCCAGTACTAGGGATTGAAGTCAGGGCTGGCCACTGCTCCTGAGCAGTGTCACTCAGGGCGAGCTCTACCACTTGAGCTAAGAGCCTCTTTGCTAATTGGAGAGAAGTCTCATGAACTTTTCAGCCCTAGCAGGCTTTGAACTCTGGATCTCCAGATCTCAGCCTCCTGAGTAGCTAGATTACAAGTGTAAGCCACCAGGGCCCACCTCTCCTTTTGTTTAATAAGCTTTTTGCTTTTCTTTTACCAGTATTTCAGAATACTTACATATTTTCCATCTTAATATATGTTTTCTTCCACCTCACACATATGACATACTTTTTGTGGCCTGTCAGGCTGACTTTTATTTATTTTTACCATAATTATTTGGGAGGATTTATTCATTTTCACATAGAATGAGTCTTCATCATATTCAACAGTGCAATACAGAAATTTCACTTTCTATTTTTTCTGTTTTGACTCTGTTCTATCACTCAAAAAGATGCACGAACAGTATAGACATGGCCCATTCAGTGTTACCTGAATGCTATCAGAAATGTAAATGTAACAATGACCCGAAAAGTTAAACTCTGTCTTTGGCGGGGGAGGGAAGGCAAGGAGTTTTTCTTATGATTACTTCTGCAAAATTGTATGATTCAAATCTATTTTTAAATTTCAGTTACAAAGAAGCATCCAATTATATTGGTGCCACCATTCAAGGGAAGATGTGTGACAAAAACTTTGCAGGAGGTGTTGTTCTGGTATGGTATGATGTAATCAGATTAAACTATATACGTAGACTGCTGGGTGGAAATGAAAGACTTCCTTACCTTGTTATTTTCTTGCATACTAAATGTGTAGTACTCTAGGAATCTTTGTCCCTACTGTTGCTAGGAATACTTAGGCTACAAGGAGTCTGCACTGAATTTACCACATGGAAGAACTTTAGCCTGTTCCTCTCCTGAATCCAGCATAGCCTATTTAGAAGCTACTAAGGTAGTGATTATGACTGGGTGCTATTGTAGTCAATAATGTTCCCGAATTTATGTTAACTAGGCTTAGATTTTATGCATTTTCTCAATCATGTAGCTGACATAGTTACAAGCTAGATTAAAAGCAGACCTTTGAAACTATCCGTCACCTTAGAATGCTTTATAGGATGCAAGTGAAGAGAACCACAGTCAAATGTCATAGGCTGTTGGCATTCTTTAATCTCATAGGAGATCTTAGTGTATGCCAAACTGGTACATTTGTGCCACTACTTCATATTGTTGTTCTCATAAACAGGATATGTCTTGTCACCTTGTTTTTTTGTAAATGTGCAACATGTATTTTCTATTGAGCTCAGTCATGGAGGTACACAGCTGTAATCTCAGCTTACTCAGGAAGTGTAGGCAGGAGGATCGAGAGTTTTAGACCAGCCTGGGCAATGTCAGCAATGACTTCTCTCAAAAGCAAAACAAAAATCAAAGCATTGTTTGATGAGAAACGTATTCATTGCCTCACTTATATAACTAACCCATCTGTATAACACCTTCACAACAAAAATTAAAAAAAAAAATCAAAGCACCAGGAATGTGACTCCACTGGAAGAGACCCTGCCCCACAGACACAGCAAGAAAGTAGAAACACGGGGTCTAATTCCCAGGGCTTAAAACATGTGAGATGACAAACATATTATAGGCATACGAATTCCCGACAGGATTGCCAGATGGATGACTCACATTGAGAAATACTTACAGAAGTTATTTAAATCCACGAAAAGCTATAAAGATAATGAAAACAGGAATAGATAACACTGCATATTGTTGTCTTAACTGGAGAGAGAGAGAAAGAGAGAGCACACTACCGGAATTATCTTCTTCAGAAGAACGTGTAGATCTTAGAAAGGCTTCAGAAGTGAGGTGTGCAGTGAAAGGACAATAAAACTCAATTTATGGCCATTTGCCGGTGGCTCACAACTGCAATCCTGGCTACTAAGGAGGCTGAGATCTGAGGATTGCAGTTAGAAGCCAGCGGGGCAGGGAAGTCCATGAGATTTTTTTATCTCCAACAAACCACCAGAAAACAGGAAGTGGAGCTGTGACGCAAGTGGCAGAGCGCTAACCTTGAGCAAAATAGCTCAAGAATGGTGCCCAGGCCCCAAGTGCAAGCCCCACAACTGACCAAAATAATAATAAATTAATAACATCTCTGAAGAATCAAATAACAACCTGTTCATGACCTGACATGTGCGTGCCTGAGTTTTTCATCTGTGAGAGAAATTTAACAAAACAGTGTTGTCACTTACACCTAGCGAGTCACAGTGACAGCTTTGTTCCTCTGTCCAATACCACCCGGTGAGTCACCACTTGTATGGTAGTGTGATTTCAGGTGTCACTGTTCCCAATCTGATACTCCAGGACCCCGGAGATGCTTTTATTTTGTTTGATTGTGCCGCTATTTAAAAAAATCTGATAGGGGCATGTATATTTTGATATTTAAGTAGTTGCACAAAGGGCTTTCAATGACGTGACTACTCTAAAAATTACACTTTTCTTACAGCAAAGTAGATTTTACACACACACACACACACACACACATACACACACACGCACACAGAGTGTTCATCCACAGCTGTGGGTTTTGTTTTGTTTTGTTTTGTTTTCCCAGCACCCCAGAATCATAAGTCTGGAATCACTTGCTATTATTTTAGTTCAGTTACTGAGCTTCAGCATGGGTATTTCTTACGATGATTTGAGCAAGTGTCACTGCCCGGGAGCTGTCTGCATAATGAACCCAGAAGCAATGTAAGAGGCTTGACTTTTATATTATCCATGTTTGGGAAATAAAAACCACAAAGGGCATGTGTTGAAACTCATAGCCAATTTCCAATCTGTGTCCTGAGCCGGTCGTGAGAGACGGTGAGCTCTTGGGATAGAGAGGGGGTGTTAGGGAGAAAGCGTTCTGGAGAGAGGTGGTGGAGAGATTTGATGGTGTTTCACGGCAGATATGGGGTGAGCAGGAAATAGGGGAAGCCCTCAGTCTTTTATCCTGGTTTATTTGTTAGCTGGAGGTTAACTTCATTGAGTGTGGAAACAGTAACAGTACAAACTTGCAGTCTCGCAGGGTGCAAATGGTGCCTTTCCCTCCATATTGTAAAGATGGAGCACAAATATAAACAATGGAAATACCTCTTCACATACACACGCACACACACACACAACCTGAAACTGGGTGCTGGTGGTTCACACCTGTAATCCTAGCTACTCAGGAGGCTGCAGCTCATAGCCAGCCAGACACAGCCTGTAAATGACAGGACTAAGACTTGATGTGATTTTGGCTGGCCAACGATTGTGCATTGGTTTTCCTTCATGAGGGGCAGAGGTGAGGGAAGGGCATCAAAAGTTTAGGGGATTTAAATTCAAGGTGCCTATGAGGAAGGCAAAAGGAGAAACACTGTGGAATGAATTGTATATTGAATTCTGTGAATGAATCGTATACTGAATTCTGGAATGTAGCAGGTACGTTTGAATTATGGAATCAAAAACATAAGTATCAGATATTGATGGTATTTAAAACTATGAAAGTGGACAGCATTATCTATGAGTAAATATGGATAAAGAAAGGAGGTAGTGGAAAGCTTACCTAACACTTGCAAGGACCTGGGTTAGACCAAGACAGCAGAAGGGGGAAAAGAAGAGAGGGAGAAGGAAGGAGGGAGGGAAGGAGGGAAAAGAGGATGAAGGAAGAGAGGGGAGGAGAGAGGAAGGGAGAAAAGGGAAAAGAAGGTGAAGGGAGGGGAGGGAAGGAGAGGGAAGGGAAAGAGGAAGGAAGAGAGGAAACATTTGTTAATACAAGGCTATTCCAAGGTTTGGAGATCATTAAGAGGGAAGGGAGGCATCAATGGAAGAGAGATAAGGCAGTTTGTAAGGAAGAAGCTCAAAGGAATCGCAGCACCATAAAGCTCCATGGGGAGGGGGCAGGCTGTCGCGGAAAGACTTACACAAAAACTTAGTGCTGTGCAATTGCAGCCATGCCAGTGGCACCAAGACCTTCAGCAACTGCAGCCTGGAAGATTATGCGCTCTTTCTGGCAAGTCCCATGTCCCATTGTCTCCAGAACCAGCCGCACCTACAGCCGTCGTACAAGACAGATGCAGTGTGTGGGAACGGTATCGTAGAGAAAGGAGAGGCCTGTGACTGCGGGTCTAAGATGGTGAGTACCAAGCGAGGGCAGACGGGCTTGCGTGGCAAGCCGCCAGCCTCGCGCGCTGCGGCCTGGGCCTCTTCCTCCTCCCGGAGACACCTGAGCAGAACTGTGCAGTGAAGTACGGGGGCACCGATGCCTAGATCTTTACACCGGTCAGTTTAGCTCTCTAGCTTTATTGAGGCAGAACTGAAAACCTAAAATTGTATGAATTTGGGGTATATGAGTCAATAATTTGATACAGATATAGAGTGTGACATATTCACCAGAATCAAGCTAACATCTCTGTAACCTTACATATATGGAAGCTGAGGATCCAACATGGTCCTCCCTCCCTCAATTCCTTCCTTCCTTCCTTCCTTCCTGCTCTTTCTTCCTCTTTCCTTCCTTCTTTCCCTTTCTCCTTCCTTCCTTCTTTCCCTTTCTTCTTTCTTCCTTCTTTCCCTTTCTCCTTCCTTCCTTCCTTCCTTTCTTCCTTCCTCCTTCCTTCCTTCTTTCCCTTTCTCCTTCCTTCCCTCCCCGCTTTCTCTCTTTTTCTGGCAGGAACTATTATTGATATCACCCTCAGTAAGTTCCACGTTTACGGTGTTGTAACTGTAGTTGGCTGTGCGTTGGGTTTCCAGGATTTTTTCCTCCTGCACAACAGAGCTCACACCCTGGACCCATCCCTCTCCACTCCGATCTCATGCTGCTCTTCAAAGTCACCGCTTTAAGTTTGCAAACAAGTGACTATCAAGGTTACTAATCCTGAATCTGACTTGATCCAGGCTCTGGAGAACATACCTTTCCTAGCATGTCATTTTAACCTACACCCTCTTCTATTCAGAAAGGTAGAGGTAAGGTTTTCACGATATAATGGAAATATATGGAAAGAATGTTTGTTTAATACTTAACTAAAAAAAAAAAGATCTAAAGCACACACAAACAAAATGTGTTTTTCCAAACCACAGAAACACTAGATAAAACTGTGACGTTGGAGGAAAGTGGGAAGGCTAGAGAGAAAACAGAGATCAAAATGAATTAAGTAAGATTTTTTAAAAATAAGATCAAGTGAAGAGAGGGCAAACTGTTGTGGCGCAGACTGTATTGTGGATCTTGGTCACCAGGAAGCAGTGGGTGGGATTCCCTGTTCCCTAGGCAGTGGCTGAACGTGACCTTTCCAACATAAAACAAACATTCCTAGATACTTGAATGGTCCCCACATACCTTTGTTTAGTTTTTGTGGAGTGGAAATCCCATGAATTTTTTTCTTCATGAAGTCTTTACATAGTAGATCACATGGTGTCATTCAACGCAGTGATTGAGTCCTGAGCCACTGTGATCTTTTCCCCCAAGAGACTCCCACACACTTAGCAACAACAGCAACATTTGTTGGGAATATTTCCAGTGAAAACTACTGAAAATTGTGTGTGTTCTAGTGGTGTCCTGCTGTACATCATAGGAGGATCGTGCGTGTGTGTGTGTGTGTGTGCGCGCACACACACACACACACGTAATGAAGTTTGATCTCAAGGCCATGCACTCTCATTAGGCTTTTTTGCTTAAGGCTGGCACTCAACTACTTATGCCACATCTCTACTGGCAGCTTTTTTGCTGGTTAGTTGGAGAGAAGAGTCTCATGAACGTTTCTGTCCCTGCAGGTGTCACATCACGATTCTCAGATCTCATCCTCCTGAATAGCTAAGATGACAAGTCTGAACCAGCAGCACCCCGCTGAAAATTCTAAAATCTTATCCTTTTCTTTCCCATATTGTATTTAACCATCTCTTTGTCTGCACAAACCAGAGATCTGAGTGTCTATGCCCTGACAGAATGCATGGCTCAGAGAATTGTATTACTGATAGAATAAGGCTCACTCTAGAGATACACAACTCCAGGAAAATGTTCCTACACCAGGGAGGTGTAGGTAAGTGCTAGATGTCTGATGGGTAGGTGAATGAATAGATGACCTTTTTAAGTTTGTTTGGGGGTGAGGCATCTCTTTGAGTGTTCTAGAATGTGCAATCATCATGTGTGCCTATTTCCAGCAAATGAAAACCTAAATAAGATGTCCTTGAGAGCATTTGTTTTGCCTTTCAGGAGTGTGAAGCCAAACCATTTCAGTGTTGCAATTCTCAAACCTGTACACTGGCATCTGATATGGAATGCGACACAGGACCATGCTGTGCAAATTGTCATGTAAGTGCCTTGAAACAATTGTTCTCCTTGACTCACACAATGAAAACTATTCCCTCCTCCTCCTCCTCCTCCTCCTCC